GTGCAATCCGGTGGCGCCGATCCTTTTTTGTCTTGACCTTCATGACACGTTCGACCCGCTATGCTCCCGTCTTGCCGACCTTCTTCTTCAGAACCTCGCCGGTATACCGGATCCCCTTCTGCTTGTACGGATCCGGCTTGCGGAGGCTGCGAATGTCCGCGGCGATCTGCCCCACCGCCTGGCGGTCGACCCCTGACACCACCAGATGGGTCTGATTCTCCACCGCGACCAGCGATACCGGCGGGCACCTCGAATATCACCGGGTGCGAATATCCCAGCGCCAGCGTGAGCCGCTGGCCCGTCACCTCGGCGCGATAGCCGATCCCTACGATATCGAGCTCCTTCTTGAATCCTGCCGAGACGCCGGTCACCGCGTTGGCGACCAGACTGCGCCCGAGCCCGTGAAACTTGGCCAGGGCGCGCTCCTCGCGTTCGGGACGTGCGTGCAATACCCCGTCCTGCATCTCGACCACGATCCCCGGCGGCAGGGGCTGGCGCATCGTCCCTTTCGGTCCCTTGGCCTCCACCGCCTCCGGAGAGATCTGGACGGTGACTCCGGCGGGAATCGGGATCGGTCTCTTACCCACTCGCGACATTTCGTGACTCCACCGTCCGGTTTACCAGACGTTGCACAACACTTCGCCGCCCACACCCATCTTGAGCGCTTCCCGGCCCGTCATGACCCCGCGCGAGGTGGTGAGAATGGCGGTGCCGAGCCCGGCCAGCACCGGGGGCACATTGTCCCGGCCACAATACACACGCCGGCCGGGCCGGCTGACGCGTTGGATCCCGGAGATGACGTTTTCACCACGGGATCCGTACTTCAACTGGATCCGAATCATCGAACGCGCCTGCTGCCCTCGTTCGACGACAACGTCCACCATCCTGAACGACTGGATATATCCCTCGCTCTGCAGAATCCTCGCGATCTCCGTCTTGAGCCGCGATGCCGGGATATCCACGCGCCGGCGATGCGCCGCGGTCCCGTTGCGGATTCTCGTCAACATATCGGCGATCGGATCAGTCATGTCTCTCTTGTCTGTCGACCTCGCGCCCGGTGGCGCGGCGTCACGGCCTGCATCGTCACCAACTGCTCTTGGTTACCCCAGCGATGTCGCCCTCGAGCGCGAGCCGCCTGAAGCACAGCCGGCACAGCGCGAACTTGCGGATGAACCCCCGCGGCCGCCCGCACAGGCGGCATCGGTTGCGTAGCCGCACCTTGAACTTCGGCGGCCTGTCTTCCTTGACGATCTTCGCAGTTGTCGCCATCGCGTTCCCCTCGCCCGGTAATGGTCGCCCCCACCGCTTCCCGCCCAGCCAACCCCGCCGGGCGTCCGCACCGTCCCACGGCGCAGACGCCTAATTCGTCCGGAACGGCATCCCCATGAGTTGGAGCAGCCGGCGCCCCTCTTCGTCGGTCCTGGCGGTAGTGACCACGGAAATGTTCATCCCGCGCGACTTGTCGACCTTCATGTAGTCGATCTCGATGAACATCAGTTGATCCGGAAGCCCCAGAGGTGTAGTTGCCGCGCCCGTCGAATCCCTTGGGGGACACGCCGCGAAAGTCCCTCACGCGGGGCAGTGCGACGGAGATGAGGCGATCGAGGAATTCATACATGCGATCCCGGCGCAGCGTCACCATCGAGCCCATCGGCATACCCTGTCGGAGCTTGAACTGGGCTATCGATTTCGGGCCCGCGTAGTCAACGGCTTCTGACCGGTGATGCGGGTCAGATCGTCGCTGCCGGCGTCGATCAGCTTCACGTTCTGGCGGCCTCGCCCAACCCCATGTTCACGACAACCCGCTGGATCTTCGGCACCGCCATGATGTTGGTGTAGCCGAATTCCTTGGTGAGCGCGGGAACGACGTTCTCGTGATAGCGTTCTTTCAGTCGACTCATCATCGATCCACGACCCCGTCGCACTTGCGGCAAATCCGAACCTTGCGACCGTCACCGAGCAGGCGCCGTCCGATCCGCGTCGGCGCGCCGCAATCCGGACAGATGAGCTGCACGTTCGACGCATGCAGGGCCGCCTCGTGCTCGACGACGCCCCCCTTGACGTTCTGCCTCGGGTTCGGGCGAGTATGGCGTTTCACCATGTTCACGCCCTCGACGATCAACCGGTTCTTGGCCGGTACCAGCCGCAGGACGCGCCCGCGCTTCCCCCGGTCCTTTCCCGTGATCACGACCACGTTGTCGTTCTTCCGGATGGGGGTCTGTAGTTTCGACATGGCTCACGCTCTCACCGGAGTCGGACGACCCGACCGCCGACCTGCTCCTATCAGAGAACCTCCGGCGCCAGAGAGACGATCTTCATGAACTTGCGTTCCCGCAACTCCCGCGCCACAGGGCCGAAGACCCGCGTCCCGATCGGTTCGCCCTGCTCGGTGACCAGGACCGCCGCGTTTCGGTCGAAACGAATGTAGCTGCCATCCCGCCGACGGTGCTCTTTCGCCGTGCGCACGATGACGGCGCGAACGACCTGCCCCTTCTTCACCGCCGAGCGCGGGGCCGCTTCCTTCACCGATGCCGTAACGAGGTCACCCAGCTTCGCGAAACGTCCGGTCGACCCGCCTATCGGGTTGATGACCGCGATCTTCCGGGCCCCGGAGTTGTCCGCGACCTCGAGGATCGATTGCATCTGGATCATGATTCTGTGCTCGCTTGCCGGGGCAGCGGGACTCCCGCCGGAAGGTCCCGCGGTCCGCTTCCGCCACGATGGGAATACCGAGCAGAATACTAGAGGTCCCGTCCGTTCGACTATCCGCACCACCGCCCAGCGCTTGCGGCGACTGAGAGGCCGGGTCTCGACGATGGCAACCACGTCGCCCTCTTTCGCTTCGTTGCCCGGATCGTGCGCCATGAACTTCGATGTGCGACGCTGAATCTTGCCGTACAGCCGTGGCGCACCCGGCGCTCCACCGCCACGACGACGCTCTGATCCATCTGCCGCTGACAACGACGCCCTGGATTTCTGCCTAGTCCCCATCCGCTGCTTCTTCTATGCGCTCGCCGGCGCTTCGGTGCCGAGCACGTACCCTCGCAGGAGCGTCTTGACCCGAGCCAGGTCGCGCCGGGTCTGACGCAGTTTGTCGGCCGCCTCCTGTTGTCCCATGGACTTCTGGAGTCGCAGACGAAACAGTTGCTCGGCCAGCTCCCGCTCGCGCTGCTCGAGGTCCGGCACGCGAGCTGCGCAGTCGTAATCGACGTCATGATGCCTGCCCCACCGACCGGGTGCGAACATCGTATGATGGGCAACTGGCCGCGGCAACGCATCGCCGCGGCGACCGGCGTCGACCCCTCCATTCGAAGAGAATGCGACCGATTTCACCACCGCGACCCACTGCTCGGGCGCGCCCTTGCCCTTGCCCATCCGGGTTTACCGGGCTTCTGGTAATCGGCTGTCGGAAACACCCGAATCCAGATCTGCCGCCGCGCTTGATCGAGCGGGTCATCGCACCCGCGCCGCCTCTATCTGGCGCGTCGGTCCAGCCAGCACGGCTCATCGCCGGCAGGCATAGTCGGCCGAACGACACCGTCGAGCCCCGCCACGCTTGCCGGTCATGCGACGCGGTGCTGCTTCCGGTGTTTGACCTTTCTTCGGCATCAACATGACAACTACCTCGCACGTACCGGGAACTCGGCGTCGAAGCCACGGTCCCAGCCCGGAAATCGTCGCCGCAGGAGTTCGCGCCAGCGAACTCCAACGCGACCGAATGTCGCGCCGCGGCCTCCGATTGCCGCCCCACCACCCTCCAGCAGTCGCGCCGCCTAGGCGCAGGCTCCTAGTCGGGCTCCTCGGCGCGGCGCCCGAACTCTTCGCGCGGGCCAGCCGCGAGTTCGTGACGGTCGCCCTTGTACAGCCACACCTTCACGCCGATCTGGCCATAGGTGGTATTGGCTTCCGCGAATCCGTAGTCGATGTCCGCCCGCAGGGTCTGCAGCGGCAACTGGCCCGTGCAGATACCATTCGGTACGCGCGATTTCAGCCCCGTTCAGACGTCCCCCGACCCGCACCTTGATGCCGCGCGCGCCGAACCGCAGGGCCGACTCGACCGCCTTGCGCATCGCCCGGCGGGAAGGCGACCCGCTTCTCGAAGCTGCCAACGCACGCCACGACCGTGACGATCAAAACTGCGCAGCGAGCGCGGGCTCTGGATCTCATGGCTGTAATGTGATGAGACCTCGCGCTTGGTCGACGCCGCTGGATCTCCGTCATTGAGCTGTCGACCTCGGTGCCCTTGCGGCCGATGATGATGTCCCGGCCGCGAGGTGCAGATGTCGATCTTCAGCTTGTTGGCGGCACGCTCGATCTCGAGATCTCGAGACGCCGGCGTGCTTGAAGCGCTTCTCAGGTCGACCGGAGCGAGGCGAGGATCATCGTGCAGGAGCTTGGCGTAGTCAGCGATCGGACATCCAACGCGACCGCCACGTCTTGTGGAACCCCAGTCTGAAACCTCGTACGGGTGTGAACCTTCTGACCCATCTACGTCAACATCGGGCCGGAGATCGTCGCCTCGAGCGACTCCGCTTCCGCGACCACCCCGTCAGGAATCCGTTCAGTTTCACCGGCCGCGTCGTCTCTTGACCGGAAAATCGGCCGACCGTTGCGGTTACGCATTCGCGGTACAGCCCGCAGGCCATCGCTAGTCGCTCGATCGCTTTCTCGGCCGCCGCTTCGACGACTTCGTCGAACGGCGCCCGGGGTCGGGAGGATCCGGCTGCGCGCTCGCGAGCCGGACTCGCCCGGGGTCACCACTCGCGCGACGATTCCGGCTGCTCCACGACATGAACGTCAGGTGCGCGTTCGCTGACGATGCGGAACGCGCGCCCATCGGCGCCGGCCGGATGCGCTTCATCGACGGCCCCTGATCGGCGTAGCACTTCGACACGAACATCCGGTCGATATCGCCGGCGGCGCCCTCTTTCTGTTCCGCATTCGCGACCGCCGAACGGAGCACCTTGGCGACGTCGCCGGCTATCCGCTTTCGGGAGAACCGCAGCGTGGCCAACGCCCGATCCACGCTCTGGCCGCGAATCAGATCCATGACGAGCTTGGCCTTCTGGGCCGAGGGTCCGGACATAACGCCCCGTGGCACGCCCTTCGATCATCGTCATTTGCCCTTGCCGACCGACGCGGCCTTGTCTCTCTTGCTCGTATGCCCTCGAAACAACCGTGTCGGCGAGAACTCACCCAGCTTGTGCCCCACCATGTTCTCGGTCAGGTATACCGGGATGAACTTCTTCCCGTTGTGCACCGCGATAGTGTGACCGATCATCTCGGGGATGACCGTCGACCGTCGAGACCAGCTCTTGATGACCCGGCGGTCGCCGCTGTTGTTCATGTGTTCGACCTTCTCGAGCAGCGGTATGTCGACGAACGGTCCCTTCTTCAGCGATCGACTCATTGGCGCCTCGTCTCAATCCCTGGCCGCGCGCAAAGCGGTTGCCATTGCGAACATGAACACCCCCGCACGCCGTGTCCGCCGTCGCGGGGTCCTCGCGAAAGCGCTCATTTCCGCCGCCGTCGCTGAACGATGAACTTGTCCGAGGGCTTCCGGCTCCGGGTCTTGTAGCCCTTGGTGGGCACCCCCCACGGAGACACCGGGTGCCGCCCGCCCGCGGCCTTGCCCTCACCACCCCCGAGCGGATGGTCGACCGGGTTCATCGCAACCCCCCGGACGTTGGGGCGGCGCCCGAGCCAGCGCGTTCTGCCCGCCTTGCCCAGCGACACGTTCTCGTGATCCACGTTGCCGATCTGGCCGATGGTGGCCCTGCACTCCTTCAGGATCCGGCGGATCTCGCCCGACGGCATCCGGACCGACACGTAATCACCTTCCTTGGCGATGAGCTGCACGCTCGCCCCGGCGCTGCGGGCGATCTGACCGCCCTTGCCCGGCTTGAGCTCCACGTTGTGCATCTGCGTGCCCAGCGGAATGTTCTTGAGGGGCAGGGTGTTGCCGGGAAGGATGTCGACACGCGCCCCCGCGATGACGGTATCGTTGACGGCGACGCCGGCGGGTTGGAGGATATAACGTTTCTCACCGTCGGCATAGGTCACCAGGGCGATGCGCGCTGACCGGTTCGGATCGTACTCGATGGTCGTCACCCTGCCCGGCACATCCTGCTTGTCACGCTTGAAGTCGATGATGCGATACGTGCGCTTGTGCCCTCCGCCTCGCTGCCATATCGTGACTCGGCCGCGATTGTTCCGGCCGCCCGACTTGGGCAACGGCTCGGTCAACGGCTTGTACGGCTTCGTTGCGGTGATCTCGTCGAACGTCTGCACCGTCTGGAATCGCCGCCCCGGCGACGTCGGCTTGTACTTGCGGATAGTCATCGTCTAGGCGCCTTCGAGGAATTCGGGCACGTTCTCACCGTCGCGCAGCCGCACGTAGGCCTTCTTCCAGTCCGAACGCTGGCCGGAAAACCGTCCCTGCCGCTTGATCTTGCCGTGGTTGATCGACGTGCGAACGCTGGCAACCTTCGATCCCAGCAATCGCTCCACCGCCTGCTTGATCTCGATCTTCGTCGCCCGCATCGACACTTCGAGCACGATCGTCCCGGTAGCCTCGCGCTGAAGCGTCGTCTTCTCGGTGACGAGGGCTCGCCGAATGACCTCGGTCTCTTTCATGATCCCAGCACCTGTGTCAGCCGCTCGACCGCGGCGCGCGTCATCACGACCTGCCGTGCGTCGACGACATCCCGCGCACCGAGCTGGTTGGTCGCCACGAGCCGGACATCACCGATATTGCGCACGGCCAGCGCCAAGGTTCGCATCCGGCTGCACGTCGACCAGCACTGCCTTGGACACTACGTCGAGACGCCGCAGCAGCTCGACCGCCTGACGCGTACGCGGCTCGTCGACACCCAGCTGTTCCACCACCAGGACGTCGCCGCCCCGGAACTTCTCGGTCAGTGCCGCTCGCAACCCACCCCGAACCACCTTCTTCGGCAGGCGATACCCGTAGCTCCGAGGCTGCGGACCGAAGACCGTGCCGCCCGAACGCCACAACGGATTGCGGCTCTCGCCGACCCGCGCGCGACCGGTGCCCTTCTGGCGCCACGGCTTCTTGCCGGTGCCTCGGACCTGGCCGCGGGTCTTCGTGGCATGCGTGCCGCGACGGTCCTCGGCCGACTCATGCACCACCGATTCCCAGATGATGTCCCGGTTCAGCCGGCCGCCGAACACGTCATCACTGACCTCGACCGAACCGACCTTCTCGTTCCGTGAATCAAAGACATCCAGCGTCATGGTCGCAACCTGCTCGGGGAAACCCGGTCAGCCACCGGCTACTTCCGCTTCTTCGCCGATTTCTCGGCCACCGGCGCGCTCTGCGGCTTGGCGGCAACCGCCTTCCGTATCATGACGACCCCGCCCGGAGCTCCCGGAATCGCCCCCTTGATCACCAGCATATGCTCATCTGCATCCACTCGCAGCACCCGCAGGTTCCGGGTCGTGACCCGGTCGCCACCCATGCGCCCCGGCCCACGCATGCCCTTGATGACCCGCGAGGGGTACGATGACGCCCCGATGGAGCCCGGTGCGCGATGAAACATGGAGCCATGCGTCGCGCGGCCACCGCCGAAACCGTGACGCTTCATGACGCCTTGAAACCCCTTGCCGCGACTGACCCCGACGACATCCACCCGGTCGCCATCGGCGAAGACCGACGCCACGACCTGATCGCCTTCGGCCGGTCCATCGCCCTCCACGCCGACTTCCCGCCGAATCCGGGTCGGGGGCACTTTGGCCTTCTTGTAGTGACCGGTCATGGGCCGGTTCGCGTTGAAAGGAGCCTCCTCGACGAGCCCGAGCTGCACGGCGGCATAGCCGTCGCGCTCGACCGTCTTGCGTTGCACGACGACACGCACGGACCGGCCTTGATGACCGTCACCGGCAGGATCGCACCGTCGTCGCCGAACAGCTGGGTCATTCCGATCTTTCGTTTCTCCGTAGAATACCGTCCACCATGATCGTTTGCATCCGTCCTGCGGGGGTTCGTCCGGAGCCCCTGGCCCCGACATCGTCGCCCTGCGGCTCGGTTCAGACTCCTGGCCCGCAAATCGCCGCCTGCGGCTCCGCCGCCGCCTTGCGGCGCTGCCGGCGCCTACCCACCCTACCTAGGCGCTGCTGCTGTCCTTCCCGAATGCCTTGATTTCGACATCGACCCCGGCCGGAAGATCGAGCTTCATCAACGCATCGACGGTCTGGGAGGTCGGCTCGAAGATATCGATCAACCGCTTGTGGGTGCGGATTTCGAACTGCTCGCGCGACTTCTTGTCGACGTGGGGCGATCTCAACACCGTCCACTTGTTCAGGTCCGTCGGCAAGGGTATCGGACCGGCGAGGCGCGCACCCGTCCGGCGGGCGGTATCCGCGATCTCGTGGGTCGACTGATCGAGCACCCGATGATCGTAGGCTTTCAGACGTATCCGAATCTTGTCGCTGAACATGGTTTCATACCGGGCAGCGCCGCACGCCGCGGCTATTCGACGATGTCGGTGATGGCCCCCGACCCGACCGTGCGGCCGCCTTCACGAATCGCGAAGCGCAGCCCCTTCTCCAGCGCCACCGGCGTGATCAACTCCACTTCCATCGTCACGTTGTCGCCCGGCATCACCATCTCGACTCCGTCCGGCAACGTCGCAACTCCCGTCACGTCCGTCGTCCGCAGGTAGAACTGCGGCCGGTACCCGTTGAAGAACGGCGTGTGGCGCCCACCTTCGTCCTTCGTCAGAACGTAGACTTCGCCCTTGAACTTCGTGTGCGGCGTGATCGACTTCGGCTTCGCGAGAACCTGACCCCGCTCCACGTCGTCCTTTTCCAGGCCACGCAGCAGAACCCCGATGTTGTCCCCCGCAACGCCCTCGTCCAGCAGCTTCCGGAACATCTCCACCCCGGTCACCACCTTCTTCAGCGTCTCCCGGAACCCCACGATCTCGATGTCGTCGGTCACCTTCACGATGCCACGGTCCACACGACCCGTCACCACCGTCCCCCGGCCCAAGATCGAGAACACGTCCTCGATCGGCATCAGGAACGGCTTGTCAACGTCCCGAACCGGAAGCGGAACGTAGTCGTCGACCGCCGCCATCAACTCGTCGATGCACGCCGTATACGCCTCGTCGCCCTCCAGCGCCTTCAGCGCGGAGCCCCGAACCACCGGAAGGTCGTCCCCGGGAAACTCATACGACGACAGAAGCTCCCGAACCTCCAGCTCCACCAGGTCCAGAAGCTCCTCGTCGTCCACCATGTCCACCTTGTTCATGAACACGACCAGACACGGAACCCCAACCTGACGAGCCAGAAGAATGTGCTCCCGGGTCTGCGGCATCACCCCGTCGGTCGCCGCCACCACCAGAATCGCACCGTCCATCTGCGCCGCACCCGTGATCATGTTCTTGATGTAGTCCGCATGACCCGGGCAGTCCACGTGCGCGTAGTGCCGATTGGCCGTCGTGTACTCCACGTGCGCCGTCGCGATCGTGATCCCGCGCTCCCGTTCCTCGGGCGCGTTGTCGATCGAGTCGAACGAACGAACCGCGTTCTTCGGATCGTGCTTCGCCAGCACCGACGTGATCGCCGCCGTCAACGTCGTCTTCCCGTGGTCGATATGCCCGATCGTCCCGATGTTCACATGCGGTTTCGACCGGTCGAACTTTTCCTTCGCCATGCGATAGCCTCTTATCTTCCCTGAATACGCGCGACGATCTCCTCGCTGACCGCCGGCGGGACCTGATCATAGCGATCGAAATGCATCGTGTAGGTAGCGCGCCCCTGCGTGCGGGAACGCAGTTCCGTTGCGTAGCCGAACATCTCCGACAGCGGCACCCGCGCATTGATGATCTGCGTCCCGCCATGGGCTTCCATCGACTTGACCCTGCCGCGGCGCGCGTTGATATCGGCGATGATGTCACCCATGTACACCTCCGGCACCACCACCTCGACCTTCATGATCGGTTCCAGCAGTACCGGGACGGCCTGACGGGCGGCATTCCGAAATGCCATCGACCCCGCAATCTTGAACGCCATTTCCGACGAGTCGACATCGTGCGAGGAACCGTCGAGGAGCGTGACGACCACATCCTCGATGGGGTATCCGGCGAGAATGCCGGTCGTCACCGCCTCTCGCACTCCCGCCTCGACCGACGCGATGAACTCCTTCGGGATCGCACCACCGAATATGCGGTTCTCGAAGACGAACCCGTCCCCTGCCGGCCTGGGCACGACGCGCAGCTTGACGTGGCCGTACTGACCGCGCCCGCCCGTCTGCTTGACGTATCGTCCCTCCGCCAGCGCCGGCCTGGTGAGGGTCTCGCGATAGGCGACCTGCGGGCGGCCGACCGTCGCCGCCACCCCGAACTCCCGCCGAAGCCGGTCGACGATGATCTCCAGGTGGAGCTCGCCCATCCCGGACACCACCACCTGCCCGGTCTCGTCATCGGTCCGGACCTGGAACGTCGGATCTTCGGTGGTGAGCTTCGCCAACCCCTGGCCGAGCTTCTCCTGGTCCGCCTTGGTCTTCGGCTCGATCGCCAGCGTGATGACCGGAGTCGGAAACTCCATGGTCTCGAGCAGGACCGGATGCGCGCGATCGCAAATCGTGTCGCCGGTGCCCACCGTCTTCAGTCCGACCGCGGCGGCAATGTCACCGGAGTAGACCTGCTGGATATCTTCCCGCTTGTTGGCGTGCATCTTCAACAGGCGGCCGATACGCTCCCGGCGGCCCAACCGCGGGTTGTAGATGGTTGCTCCGCTGGCCATCACGCCGGAGTACACGCGTATGAAGGCAAGCTGACCGACGTAGGGATCGGTCATGATCTTGAACGCCAGGGCCGAGAACGGCGCCTCGTCCCGGGCCGGTCGCTCGAGCACCGTATCGCCATCGGGCGCCGTCCCGGTCACGGCGGGAATATCAGCCGGCGACGGCAGATAGTCGACCACCGCATCGATCAAGGGCTGCACCCCCTTGTTCCTGAAGGCGCTGCCGCACAACACCGGCACGAGCGGGGCATCCTCGTTCCGCACCGACTCGATGGTCCGCCGGCGCAGGATTGGGACGATCTCCTCGGCCGCGATCGGCTCCCCGTGCAGGTACTTCTCGAGCAACCGGTCATCGACCTCGCAGACCTTCTCGATCAACGCCTCTCGCGCCGCCGTCGCCTCGTCGAGGCGGCGACCGGAATCTCCTCGAGCACCGATTCGGCGCCGAGCGATTCGTCCCGATATCGAACCGCCTTCATGGCGACCAGATCGATCACGCCGGCGAAACCGTCTTCCGCCCCGAGCGGAAGCTGGACCGCCACCGGGTTCGCCTGGAGCTTCTCGCGAATCTGCGTCAGCGTACGCCCGAAATCGGCCCCCACGCGGTCCATCTTGTTCACGAAACAGATGCGCGGCACCCGGTACTTGTCGGCCTGACGCCAGACCGTCTCGGATTGCGGCTCCACGCCGCCCACCGCATCGAACACGGCCACGGCGCCGTCCAGCACGCGCAGCGATCGTTCGACTTCCGCCGTGAAGTCCACATGCCCCGGGGTGTCGATGATATTGATTCGGTTGCCGCGCCACATGCACGTCGTGGCGGCGGAGGTGATGGTGATGCCCCGCTCCTGTTCCTGGGCCATCCAGTCCATCACCGCGGTTCCGTCGTGCACCTCGCCTATCTTGTAGGTGATGCCGGTATAGAACAGCACCCGTTTCGGTCGTCGTCGTCTTGCCGGCATCGATGTGGGCCATGATGCCAATGTTCCGTGTCCGCTCGAGCGGCACCTGTCTCGACATCTCCTTGCCCGTTCGTGACTGCCTGCGCTGCGCGACACCGCGGTCCGCGGTCGCCGGGGCGATTTCCAACTCGGCTCCAATCACTGGATCTGCTGCCTGTTTGACGACGGTCACGATCCTCACCACCGATAGTGGGCGAACGCCTTGTTCGCGTCGGCCATCCGGTGCGTGTCCTCGCGCTTCTTCACGGACCCGCCGCGCAGATTCGATGCATCGATGAACTCGTTCGCGAGCTTCTCCCTCATCGTCTTGCCATCACTGCGGGCCCGCGCGTAGCCCGACAGCCACCGCAGGCTCAACGACAGACGGCGGTTGGGATTGACCTCGATGGGCACCTGATAGTTCGAGCCGCCGACCCGCCTCGACTTGACCTCGAGGCTGGGCTTCACGTTGTCGACCGCCTTCTTGAACACCTTGAGCGGGTCGTCACCGGTCCGCTCCCGGATGATGTCGAGACTCCCGTAGAGCAGCCCTTCGGCCGTGCTGCGCTTGCCGCTCTTCATGATGGTACGCACGAACTTGGTCACCAGGGTGCTGTTGTAGAGCGGGTCCGGCGGCACCTCGCGCTTCGGCACTTCGCGTCTGCGTGGCATTGACTATTTCCTTCTCGACAACCGGGAACTCGGGACCCGATCCTACGCCTTCGGCCGCTTTGCCCCGTACTTCGACCGGCTCTGCTTTCGGCCCTGCACGCCGGTGGTGTCCAGCGTCCCGCGGACCACGTGGTAGCGCACCCCGGGCAGATCCTTGACACGCCCTCACGGATGAGCACCAGGGAGTGCTCCTGGAGGTTGTGGCCCTCGCCCGGAATGTAGGTGGTCACTTCGATCTGATTCGTCAGCCGGACGCGGGCAACCTTCCGCAACGCGGAGTTCGGCTTCTTCGGGGTCTGCGTGAACACGCGGACGCACACGCCCCGACGCTGGGGAGACCGCTGCAAGGCCGGGCTCTTGGTCTTGGTCTCGATTCGGAAACGTCCCTTCCTCACGAGCTGGCTAATCGTCGGCACGACCGCTCCTTGCGTCGATGGCGTCACGACATCCCGGCTGGCGGCCAGAACGCCTGCGACAGTCTGCCTCGGGCCTGAAAGCTACTGCTTGGCACCCGACGCGATTGACCCTACTTGTGTTTGCGCGCCGTGAAGAGCCCGGCCGACCAGCGGGTCGGCCCCCGGACTGCTCCACCGAGAAAGAGGCGAGTTGCGCAAGGCTCGTGAGTGCCCCACGGAGCTCGCCGCGCTCGGTGGTTCACACGCCTCTCTCTGACGGGTCGGAGTCAGATAGGGTGTCCCAACTCCGCTAGAACCTTGCGAGATTAACACGGAACGGCGATCGACGCAACCGCCATGAGCGCTTTCTCGTTCCCCCTGCTGCCGTCCTCCCGCCGCCGGAACTCCGTCCCCTACTCGGTCACCTGATCACGGTCCACCGTCTCCGGCTCCACGAGATACTCCATCTCCCGTTCGAGCTCAAGCTCTTCCTGCGTCGGCGGCGGCGGCGGCGGCGGTTCGTCCGCCTGAATCCGCACCCCGCGGTAGTAGTCGTACCCGGTGCCGGCCGGAATCAGCCGGCCCATGGTCACGTTCTCCTTGAGCCCCCGGAGATGATCCACCTTGCCGGAAATCGACGCTTCCGTCAACACGCGCGTCGTCTCCTGGAACGAGGCGGCCGAGATGAACGAGTCGGTGGACAGCGAGGCCTTGGTGATGCCGAGCAGGAGCGGACGCCCGGTGGCGGGCTGGCCGCCTTCGGCGATGACCCGCTCGTTCTCGATGAGGAACCGGGACCGATCCACCTGCTCATCGATCAGGAAATCGGTGGTCCCCACGTCCTCGATCTTCACCCACCGCATCATCTGCCGGGCCACGACCTCGATGTGCTTGTCGTTGATGGTGACGCCCTGCAGGCGATAGACCTCCTGGATCTCGTTCACGAGATAGCTCTGGAGGGCCTTCGGACCGAGAACGCTCAGGATGTCGTGCGGATTGCTCGGACCGTCCATGAGCTGCTCGCCCGCACGGACACGGTCCCCGTCCTGGACGTTCACATGGACTCCGCGAGGCAGCGAATACTCCCGCGGCTCGGCCCCGGGTTCGTCCGGCACGATGATGACCTTCCGCATTCCCTTGACGATGCTGCCGATCTTGACCGTACCGTCGATCTCGCTGATGACCGCGGTCTCGCGCGGCTTCCGCGCTTCGAACAGCTCCTGCACCCGAGGCAGCCCGCCCGTGATGTCCTTGGTCTTCGTCGTTTCGCGAGGGATCTTGGCCAGCACCTCGCCGGCGGTCACCTCCTGCTCATCCACCACCATGAGATGCGCGTGCGACGGCATGTTGTACTTGCGCTCGAGCTTGCCGGCCGCATTTCGGATCTCGACCAGCGGCTGCTTCTTCTCGTCGGGCGAGTCCATGATGATCAGACGAGACAGCCCGGTCACCTCGTCCACCTCCTCGTGCACCGTCGTCCCCTCGGCGATGTCCTTGAAGCGGACGGTTCCCGTCTTCTCGGTAATGATCGAGAACGTATAGGGGTCCCACTGGACCAGAACCTGGTCCGGCTCGACGTGTTGGCCGTCGGATACCCTCAGGTGCGCCCCGTACACCACCGGGTACCGTTCCCGGTCGCGCCCCTTCTCGTCCTGAACAACCAGCGAGCCGGTCCGGTTCATCACGACCAGCGTGCCATCCTTCGCCTTGACCCACTGGATCCCGTCGAAACGCACCGTTCCCACGTGCTTCGCTTCGAGGGTGGATTGCGCCGACACCCGCGATGCGGTTCCGCCGATGTGGAAGGTCCGCATCGTGAGCTGGGTTCCGGGCTCACCGATAGACTGGGCCGCGACGACCCCGACCGCCAGGCCCAGCTCGACCAGCTCACCGGTGCCGAGGTCACGGCCGTAGCACTTGGCGCACACCCCGCGCCGGGCGGCACACGTCAACACCGACCTGATCTTGACCTTCTCGACGCCGGAATCCTCTATCTGCGAGGCGAGATCCTCGACGATCACCTCGCTCGCGGGCACGATGATATCGTTGGTGAACGGATCGACGATTTCCTCGAGCGCCACTCGACCGACGATTCGCTCCCGCAGCGGCTCGATGATCTCGCCGCTCTCCACGATGGCGCGCGACTCGATCCCGTCCGGCGTGCCGCAATCCACCTCCGAGATGATCACGTCCTGGGCCACGTCCACCAGGCGCCGCGTCAGATAGCCGGAGTCCGCCGTCTTCAGCGCCGTATCCGCCAGACCCTTCCGGGCGCCGTGCGTCGAGATGAAGTACTGCTGCACCGTCAGCCCCTCACGGAAATTCGACGTGATGGGCACCTCGATGATCTCGCCGGACGGCTTCGCCATCAATCCCCGCATGCCCGCGAGCTGACGAATCTGCTGCTTGCTGCCGCGAGCACCGGAGTCGGCCATGATGTAGACGGCATTGAAGTCCTGGCCGCCGCCGCCATCGAGGCCCTCCATTTCGTTGAACATCTCGTCGGCGACCTTCTCGGTCACATCCGACCAGATGGCGATGACCTTGTTGTACCGCTCGCCGTTCGTGATCGCCCCTTCGAGATACTGTTGCTCGACCCGGATGACCTCGTCGTTGGCCTCCTTGATCATCGACGCCTTCTGGGCGGGCACGATGAGATCGTCGATGCCAATCGACAGGCCGGAGCGGGTCGCATACCCGAATCCGAGCTGCTTCAGCCGGTCCAGCATCTCCACCGTCTTGGGGACGCCATGCTTCAGGTAGCAGTACTGGACGAGCTGACCGAGCCCCTTCTTCTTCAGGAGACCGTTGAAGAACGGGAGCTCGTCCGGCAACGCGTTGTTGAGCACCACCCGGCCGGCCGTGGTGTCGATGATCTTGCCCGCGACCCGCTGGACCTTGGTTCGCAGCACGTCCTGATCGTCCCGGGACGCGGTCAGGTCCATCAGCTCGCCGCTGAGCCGAAGACGGATCGGACTCAAGGTCTCGATTGCGTCGGCCGCGAGCGCCAGTCCCACGTCATCCGCCGAGCCGAAGACGCGCCCCTCCCCCTTGGCCCCCTTCTTGGCCTTGGTCAGGTAGTAGCAACCCAGCACGATGTCCTGCGAGGGCACCGTGATCGGCGCGCCATTCGCCGGAGACAGGATGTTCTTCGACGCCTTCATCAGGACCGAGGCCTCGATCTGGGCCTCGGGCGCGAGCGGAATATGCACCGCCATCTGGTCGCCGTCGAAATCGGCGTTGAATGCCGTGCATACCAGAGGGTGGATCCGGATCGCCTTGCCCTCGACCAGGACCGGTTCGAACGCCTGTATCCCCAGTCGGTGCAGCGTCGGGGCCCGATTGAGCAGCACCGGGTGCTCCCGAATCACCTCTTCGAGGATGTCCCACACCTCGGGAAGCTGCTGGTCGACCATCTCCTTCGCCTGCTTGATGGTGGACACCAGCCCGCGGCTCTCGAGCTTGTTGTAGATGAACGGCTTGAACAGCTCGAGGGCCATCTTCTTGGGGAGCCCGCACTGGTGAAGCTGAAGCTCGGGTCCCACGACGATCACCGACCGTCCCGAGTAGTCGACCCGCTTGCCGAGCAGATTCTGGCGAAACCGTCCCTGCTTGCCCTTGAGCGTGTCCGAGAGCGACTTGAGGGGGCGATTGTTCGCCCCGCGCAGCACGCGGCCGCGCCGGCCGTTGTCGAACAGCGCATCCACCGCTTCCTGCAGCATCCGCTTCTCGTTGCGGATGATCACATCGGGCGCCTTGAGCTCGATCAGCTTCTTCAGGCGATTGTTCCGGTTGATGACCCGGCGGTAGAGGTCGTTGAGATCGGAGGTCGCGAAGCGGCCGCCGTCGAGGGGCACGAGCGGGCGCAGTTCCGGTGGAATGACCGGAATCACATCGAGAATCATCCATTCCGGACGATTGGTCGACTTCCGGAACGATCCGACGACCTTCAGGCGCTTGGCATACTTGAGCTTCTTCTGCACCGAGTTTTCCCGGCGCATGTCCACCCGCAACTGGTCCGCCAGATCGTGGATGTCGGCGCGCTTGAGCAGCTCCTTGATCGCCTCGGCGCCCATCTGGGCCCGAAACTTCGGACCGTACTCCTCGATCGCCTTGCGGTACTGCTCCTCGGTGAGAAGTTGATGCGGCTCGAACTCGCTGTCGCCCGCGTCGATCACCACGAACGCTTCGAAGTAGAGAATGCGTTCGAGATCGCGGAGCGAGATGTCGAGCAGGTGTCCGATTCGGCTCGGCAGCCCCTTGAAGAACCAGACGTGGCTGACGGGGGTGGCCAGCGTGATGTGCCCGAGCCGCTCGCGCCTGACTTTGGCCTGGGTCACCTCGACGCCGCACTTGTCACAGATGACGCCCCGGTGCTTCATGCGCTTGTACTTCCCGCACAGGCACTCCCAGTCGGTCACCGGACCGAAGATCTTGGCGCAGAACAGCCCGTCCCGCTCCGGCTTGAACGTCCGGTAGTTGATCGTTTCGGGCTTGGTCACTTCACCATGCGACCAGGACCGGATGGTCTCCGGCGAGGCGAGGCTGATTCGGATGGCGTCGAAATCGGCTGTCAGCGAGCTGCGGTCCGAGAAACTGGGTCTCATGGCTTCTCCTGCTACGCCTCGTCGAGAGCGGGCACCGCTCGGTCTCGTCCGTCTCCGGCGACTCCTCCGACGCCTGCTCCTGCGCAACGCCGGGCCCCAGGGCGCGCCGGGCATCGGTGCTCGCGTCTTCAGCAGCTCGACGTCCAGACACAACGCCTGGAGCTCGCGGATCAGCACGTTGAACGACTCCGGCAGGCCCGGCGCGAACGACGCGTCGCCCTTGACGATCGCCTCGTAGATCTTGGAGCGGCCGGTCACGTCGTCCGACTTCGCGGTCAGCAGCTCCTGCAGGATGTGCGCGGCGCCGTAGGCCTCGAGCGCCCACACCTCCATCTCACCGAACCGCTGCCCCCCAAACTGCGCCTTGCCGCCGAGCGGCTGCTGCGTGATCAGCGAGTAGGGCCCGATCGACCGGGCGTGGATCTTGTCATCCACCAGGTGCGACAGCTTCAGCATGTAGATGTAGCCGACGGTGACCTTCTGCTCGAACGACTCGCCGGTCATCCCGTCGAACAGCGTCGTCTTGCCGTCGCGCGGGAGTCCCGCCTCCTCCAGCAGGTCCTTGATCTCGGTCTCGCGCGCGCCATCGAAGACGGGCGTCGCGAAGTAGCGGCCCAGCACGTGCGCGGCCCACCCCAGGTGGGTCTCGAGAATCTGCCCCACGTTCATCCGGGACGGGACGCCGAGCGGGTTGAGGACAATCTCCACCGGCGTGCCGTCCGGCAGCCGCGGCATGTCCTCCTCCGCCAGGATCCGCGCAATGACCCCCTTGTTGCCATGGCGGCCCGCCATCTTGTCGCCGACCGACAGCTTCCGCTTCATGGCCACGAAGACCTTGACCATCTTGATCACGCCGGGCGGGAGCTCGTCGCCGCGCCGCACCTTCTCCTTCTTCTCCTCGAAGCGCTGATCGATCACTTCCACCTGGCGCGCGGTCCGTTGCTCGATCGCCTGGATCGCCGCCCGGGCCTTCGCCTGCTTCACGTCGAGCTTCGCGCGCACCAGGTCGTTGTACGCCAGCTTCTGAATCACCGACTCGCTCAGCACCGTCCCCTTCGGCAGGAGGACCTCCGCGCCGTAGGCGTCGTGCAGGTCGCCGGTGAGCGTGCGGCCGTCCAGCATCGGCATCAGCCGCTTCTTCACTTCGTCATGCAGGATCCGGACCTCGTCCTCCCGGTTCGTCTCCAGCATCTCGATGTCTTCAGCCTCGATCGCCTTGGCGCGCTCGTCCTTCTCGATCCCCTTGCGGGAGAAGATGCGCACGCCCACCACGATCCCCTCGATGCCGGGCGGGCAGAGCAGCGACGCGTCGCGCACGTCGCCCGCCTTCTCGCCGAAGATGGCCCGCAACAGCTTTTCTTCCGGCGTCAGTTGCGTTTCCCCCTTCGGCGTCACCTTCCCGACGAGGATGTCGCCCGGCTTGACGTAGGCGCCGATCCGGATGATGCCGCTCTCGTCGAGGTCGTTCAGGAAGCCCTCGGACACGTTCGGAATGTCGCGCGTGATCTCCTCCGGACCGAGCTTCGTGTCGCGCGATTCGATCTCGAACTCCTCGATGTGGATCGACGTGTAGTAGTCCTCCTTCACAAGGCGTTCGGAGACAAGGATGGCGTCCTCGAAGTTGTAGCCGCGCCACGGCATGAAGGCGACCAGCACGTTGCGGCCGAGCGCCAGCTCACCCCGCTCCGTGCAGGGGCCATCGGCCAGCGCCTGCCCTCGCTCGACGTGCTGTCTCACCCGCACGATCGGCTTCTGGTTGATGCAGGTGTTCTGGTTGGAGCGGCGGAACTTCGTCAGGTTGTAGATGTCGGCGCCCAGCTCGCTCGACAGCCCGTCGCCGGTGGGGTCCTCCACCCGGACGACGATGCGCCGCGAGTCGACGAAGTCGACCACGCCACCCCGACGCGCCGTCACCACCGCGCCCGAGTCGCGCGCGGTGATGCGCTCCATGCCGGTCCCGACGAACGGCGCGCGCGCCCGGAGCAGCGGCACCGCCTGCCGCTGCATGTTCGACCCCATCAGGGCGCGGTTCGCGTCGTCGTTCTCGAGGAACGGGATGAGCGACGCGGCAACCGACACGAGCTGCTTCGGCGAGACGTCGATGAACTCGATCCGGTCGCGCGGCTCCAGCCTGAAGTTGCCCGCCTGGCGGGCGTTGATCCGATTGTCGATCAGGTACCCCTCGTCATCGAGGCGCGCGTTTGCCTGCGCGATGACGTACTTGTCTTCCTCCCAGGCAGACAAGTAGAAGGAGTACGGCTCGTAGGTTGCGGCCCGCTTCCGCCGCCCCTGCGCGGCGGCGCTCGCGGCCGCCACCTCCGACTCCTCGGCGATGTCGCCCGCCTTGTGCCTCGTCCCGCCCCCGTCGGTGATGCGGACGTAGTCGATCGCGCGACCCGCCTTCACCTTGCGGTAGGGCGACTCGATGAACCCGAACTCGTTGATCCGCGCGTAGCACGACAGCGACGAGATCAGCCCGATGTTCGGCCCCTCCGGGCGTCTCAATCGGGCAGATGCGGCCGTAGTGTGTCGGATGCACGTCGCGCACCTCGAAGCCCGCCCGCTCGCGCGACAGCCCGCCAGGACCGAGCGCCGACAGCCGCCGCTTGTGGGTGATCTCTGACAGCGGATTCGTCTGATCCATGAACTGCGAGAGTTGCGACGACCCGAAGAACTCGCGAATAGCCGCCATCACCGGCTTCGCGTTGATCAGGTCGTGGGGCATGGCGGTCGCCATCTCCTGGTAGACCGACATCTTCTCCTTGATGGCCCGCTCCATCCGTACCAGCCCGATGCGGAACTGGTTCTCGAGCAGCTCGCCGACCGAGCGGACCCGCCGGTTCCCGAGATGGTCGATGTCATCGATGTTCTGGGGGTTCCGGCGCAGCTTCAGCAGGTAGCGGATCACCTCGTAGAAGTCCTGCGCCGAGAGCACCCGGTCGTCGAGCGGCGTGTCGAGCCCCAGCTTCGTGTTCAGCTTCAGGCGCCCCACGCGCGAGACGTCGTACTTCTGCGGGTTGAAGAAGAGGCCCTCGAACAGGGCGCGCGAGCTGTCGAGGGTCGGCGGGATCGCCCGGCCGCATCCGGCGGTAGATCTCGATCAGCGCCTCCTCGTGCGTCTTGATCTGATCCTGGCGGAGCGTGTTCGACAATGCCGTCCCGATCTCGTCCTGCTCCGGGAAGAACAGCTCGATCTCGGGGATCCCCTTCTCCTGCGCCATCGAGACGATGCGGCCAGTCAGTTGCTCGTTCGCCTCGAGGATCACCTCGCCGGTTTCCGGATCGACGATGTCGGCTGCGGCCTGCGCGCCTTCCTGCTCCGCGGTCGCCATCAATTCGACCGTCGTCTCGCCGACGGCCACGCGCTGGATCTTGTAGAACGTGCGGATGATGTCATCGACGCTGTGCAGGCCGAGCGCGCGAAGGAAGACGGTCCCGAGGAACTTGCGCTTCCGGTCGATCCGGACATTCAGCACGTTCTTGGCGTCGTACTCGAACTCCACCCAGGATCCGCGGTACGGAATAATCTGGGCGACATACGCCGACCGGTCGTCGGAGTGGAAGAACGCGCCGGGGGAGCGATGCAGTTGTGAGACGATCACCCGCTCGGTGCCGTTGATGATGAACGTGCCGTTGTCCGTCATCAGCGGGATCTCGCCGAAGTAGACCTCCTGCTCCTTGATGTCGCGGAGCGACTTGATGCCGGTGTCCGGATCCTTGTTGTAGACGGCGAGGCGAATCGTCACCTTGAGCGGAACGGCATAGGTCATGCCCCGCTCCTGGCATTCCTCGACGTCGTACTTCAGCTTCAGGCCGAGGCGCTGACCGCCGAAGTCGCGGATGACGTGGTAGCGCACGCCGGGCACGTCCTCCACCGGCTCCCAGTCGCCGATGGCATAGTTGACGAACTCCAGCTTCGAGTTCTCGCGGAAGTCGCTGATCGGGAAGACCGATCTGAACACCGACTGCAGTCCGGCCTCCTCCCGTTCTTCGGGAGTCCGGTTCATCTGCAGGAAGCGCTCGTACGACTTCTTCTGGATCTCGATCAGATTCGGGATCGGAACCGCCGCGCGGATCTTCGAAAAGTCGATACGCTCGCGATAGACGTTCGCAGGCAGGGTCTGCTGCACGGGGTGAACTCCTTCGCGTGCGCCGGGGTTATTTGATCTCGATCTTCGCGCCGACGGCTTCGAACTTCTTGACGAGCGCTTCCGCCTCGTCCTTCGGGATCGCCTCCTTGAGGGTGCTCGGCGCACTCTCGACCAGATCCTTCGCCTCCCTGAGGCCGAGGCTCGTCACTTCGCGCACCGCCTTGATGACCTTGATCTTCTCCGACCCGAACTCGGCCAGCGTGGCCGTGAACTCGGTCTGCTCCTCCGCCTCTGCCGCGCCGCCCGCCGCCAAGCCGCCCGCCATGGCGACCGGCATCACCGCCGCGGCCGAGACGCCCAGCTCCTCTTCGAGGCGCTTGACGAGCTCCGACGCCTCAAGCACGGACATGCCCTTGATGTAGTCGACTACCTGATCCTGTGTCACGTCAGCCATCGTCATCCTTCCTCCTTAGACTTCTTCTCTCGCACCTGATCCAGCACGGTCACGAGATCACGCGCCGCGCCGCTCAGCACGCGCACAACATTCGTCGCCGGAGCGTTGAGCAGCATCAGCAGCTTGGCGTACAGCTGCTCCTTCCCCGGCAGCGCGGACAGCCCGGTCACGGCCTCCGCGTCGATCGCCCGGCCCTGCACCACGGCAGCCCGGACCGTCAGCGCCGGGACATCCTTCGCGAACTCGACGAGCGCCCGGGCCAGGGCCACCGGGTCGTCGCTGCTGTATGCGACGGCGGTGGTCCCCGTCACCCGGTCACGCAGGGCCTCGAACGACGTCCCCTCGAGCGCGCGCCGCGCGATGGAGTTCTTCACCACGCGGTAGCTTGCCTGCGCGCCCCGCACCTTCCGGCGTAACTCGGTCACCTGCGGGACGTCGAGCCCCTTGAAGTCGACCAGGATGACGCTCTCTGCCCTGCCCAACACCGTCCGGAGCTCTTCGAGCCGCGTTTCCTTCGCCGTCCTGCTGAGTGCCATCGTGCTCCGTGTCTCTCGTCCAGATGCCGCGGCCGGGTCGCTGATCCCGCTCCGCGGTCGATTCCGCTGTCGTTAGGCTTTCGCCTCTGCCTCCACGCTCGCGGTATCGACCGGCACGCCCGGGCCCATCGTCGACGAGACCGTGACGCTCCGGACATAACGTCCCTTGGCGGCGGCCGGCTTGGCCTTGATCACGCTCGCGGCGAGCGCCGACGCGTTGTCAAGCAACTGCTGCGGCTCGAACGACACCTTGCCGATCGGCACATGCACGACACCTGCCTTGTCGACGCGAAACTCCACCTTGCCCGCCTTGATTTCCTCGACCGCCCGGCGAACATCCATCGTGACGGTGCCGGTTTTCGGATTCGGCATCAGGCCGCGCGGCCCGAGCACGCGCCCCAGCTTGCCCACCACACGCATCATGTCGGGGGTCGCCACCACCGCCTCGAAGTCCAGCCAACCACCGGCGATCCTCGCGACCACCTCCTCGCCCCCCACGGTCTCGGCGCCCGCCGCCTCCGCCTCCGCCTGCTTGTCGGGGCCGGCGATCACGACGACCGACTTGCTGCGGCCCAGGCCGTGCGGCAGCACCACTGTCCCGCGCACCATCTGATCGGCATGTCGCGGGTTGACGCCGAGGCGCATCACCATCTCGACGGTCTCGTCGAACTTGGCGAACGTCAGGCGCTTGACCAGCGGGAGCGCCTCGGCGAGCGCGTATGCCTCCCGGTCCACCTTTGCCTGTGCCGCCGCCAACTGCTTGCCGCTCCTGCCCATGGTCGCGCGCTCTGCCTTCCTCTATGCCTGGTCCGTTATGACTGGTCCGCGGGGGGCGCGGCATCCGCCACCGGCTGATCCGACCCCTGGATCTCGATTCCCATCGACCGCGCCGTGCCGGCAACGATCTCCATCGCCGCCTCGACCGAGTTGGCGTTCAGGTCGGGCATCTTCGTCTTCGCGATCTCCTCCATCTGCGCTATGGTGACGCGCCCCACCTTGGTCCGGTTCGGTTCGCCCGAACCCTTGGCGATATTGGCGGCGCGCTTCAGCAGCACCGCAGCGGGCGGCGTCTTCGTGATGAAGCTGTAGGACCGGTCGGCGTAGACGGTGACAACGGCCGGAATGATCAGCCCCTCCTGGGCAGCCGTCTTCGCGTTGTACGCCTTGCAGAAGTCCATGATGTTGACGCCGTGCGGACCAAGCGCGGTCCCGACCGGCGGCGCCGGCGTCGCCTTGCCGGCGGCGATTTGCAGCTTCACCTGGCTGATGATCTTCTTCGCCATGACGCGTCAGACCTTCTCCACCTGCAGGAAGTTGAGCTCCACCGGCGTGGAGCGCCCGAAGATGGTCACCATCACCTTCAGCGTGTTGCGGTCGACGTTCACCTCGTCGACCACACCGTTGAAACTGGAGAAGGGACCCTCGTTGATCCGCACCTGGTCGCCCTTGTCGAACGTGTACCTGGGCTTCGGCTGCTCGGCCGCCACCGTCACCTGGTGGAGGATCTGATCCACCTCCTCGTGCGTCAGCGGCGTCGGCTTCGATCCGGCGCCGACAAAGCCGGTCACCTTCGGCGTGTTCTTGACGACGTGCCACGCCTGATCGGACATTTGCATCTCGACCAGGATGTAGCCGGGGAAGAAACGCTTTGAGGTAATCACCCGCCGGCCGCCGCGCATCTCCACGACATCCTCGGTCGGGACGAGCACCTCGCCGATCTCGTCCTGCATGCCGTACGCCTGCACGCGCTGCTTCAGCGAGTCCTCCACCTTCTTTTCGAAGCCGGAGTAGGTGTGCACGATGTACCAGAGCTTGGTTGCAACGTCAGTCATTGCCTGTCCGCCAGTCCGTCACGCGCCGAACGCCCTGAACAGCGACCGCGCCAGCCGGTCGAGCACCAGATCGATCCCCCACAGGTACAGGCCGAAGGCAACCGACGTCAGGATGACGACGATCGTGGTCGCCTGCACTTCCGTCCATGTGGGCCAGGTGACGCGCTCCGTCTCGTTGCGCACCTGCGCCAGGAAGGTGCGCGACCGGCCCCACCAGGCGAACAGCCCTGCGACGTACGTCGTCTCGCGCGTCGTCTCCAGCCTGGCGGATTTCACGGTGTCTGTCCTTCCACATCCTCAGCAGCCATTGGCAGGCCAGGAGGGGATCGAACCCCCAACCCCCGGTTTTGGAGACCGGTGCTCTACCAATTGAGCTACTGGCCTGTATTCCCCGCACGTGGCGCAGCGTTCCAACGCCGCGCCTACCTCGTCTCCCGGTGCGGCGTGTGCGCGCGGCACCAACGGCAATACTTCTTGAACTCGAGCCGGTCTGGCGTCGTCCGCTTGTTCTTCGTTGTCGTGTAGTTGCGCCGCTTGCAGGCGGTGCACGCCAGCGTCACGATATCGCGCATGGTGTCGCCTCCCGGTCTCTGCCCGGATGCCCCGTGCCAGCCGGGCTACTCGACGATCTCGGTGATCGTGCCCGAACCGACCGTCCGGCCCCCCTCCCGGATCGCGAACCGCAGTCCCCGCTCGAGGGCGACCGGCGTGATCAGCTCCACGTTGATCGTCACGTTGTCGCCCGGCATCACCATCTCCACGCCTTCCGGCAGGCTCGCCACGCCGGTGACGTCGGTCGTCCGCAGGTAGAACTGCGGCCGGTACCCGTTGAAGAACGGGGTGTGCCGTCCGCCCTCGTCCTTCGACAGCACGTACACCTCGCCCTTGAACTTGGTGTGCGGCGTGATCGACTTCGGCTTCGCGAGCACCTGGCCCCGCTCCACGTCATCCTTCTCGGTGCCGCGCAGCAAGACGCCGATGTTGTCGCCGGCGACCCCCTCGTCGAGCAGCTTCCGGAACATCTCGACGCCGGTCACAACCTTCTTCTGGGTCTCAGTGAAACCGACGATCTCGACATCCTCGCCTACGACCACCCTCCCCCGGTCGACGCGCCCGGTCACGACGGTGCCGCGGCCAGAGATAGAGAAGACATCCTCGATCGGCATCAGGAACGGCTTGTCGATGTCACGCTCCGGCAGCGGGACGTACTCGTCCACCGCCGCCATCAGCTTGTCGACCGCTTCCTCGCCCTCGGGCTTGCCCTCGAGCGCCGCGAGCGCGGAGCCCGCAACGACCGGGATGTCGTCGCCCGGGAACTCGTACGACGTGAGCAGCTCCCGCACCTCAAGCTCGACCAGCTCCAGCAGCTCCGGGTCGTCCAGCACGTCCACCTTGTTCAGGAACACCACCAAACAGGGGACACCCACCTGGCGGGCCAGCAGGATGTGCTCCCGGGTCTGCGGCATCGGCCCGTCGGTCGCGGCCACCACCAGGATCGCGCCGTCCATCTGCGCGGCACCTGTGATCATGTTTTTGATGTAGTCGGCGTGGCCGGGACAGTCGACATGGGCATAGTGCCGGTTGGCGGTCGTGTACTCGACGTGGGCGGTGGCGATCGTGATGCCCCGCTCCCTCTCCTCGGGCGCGTTGTCGATCGAGTCGAACGTCCGCACCGCGTTGGAGGCGTCATGCTTCGCCATCACATGGGTGATCGCGGCCGTGAGTGTCGTCTTCCCGTGGTCGATGTGGCCGATCGTGCCGATGTTCACGTGCGGCTTCGACCGATCGAACTTCTCCTTCGCCATGACTGTGCCTGTCCTTCCTTTTGGTGTGTGCTGTTCCCCGCCAACCGTGGTGGAGCCGATGACCGGGCTTGAACCGGTGACCTCGTCCTTACCAAGGACGCGCTCTACCGCTGAGCTACATCGGCTCGTGCCGCCGCCCGTGCGCCGACCTGCTGTCGCTGGAGCGGGAGACGGGGATCGAACCCGCGACCAACAGCTTGGAAGGCTGTGACTCTACCACTGAGTTACTCCCGCTTCGTTAGCCGCCTGACCCCCGCTGCCGGCGCGCCCGCCGGCGGTGTCCGCTACCTGGTGGCGAGGGGAGGATTCGAACCTCCGAAGCCGCTAGGGCGACAGATTTACAGTCTGTTGCGTTTGACCGCTCCGCAACCTCGCCGATGTTGTTCCGTTGCTGCTGCTTGGCGTCTGCTGCCTGATGGAGCTGGCGAAGGGATTTGAACCCCCGACCCGCTGATTACAAATCAGCTGCTCTACCGGACTGAGCTACGCCAGCAGGACGAACCAGACATGCTACCACGTTTGAGCGCGGCGTCACAAGGTCCAGTCTCGTCAGGACTCGCTGCCCCCGGGAGCCGGACCGTCGCGGTGGGACAACCGCTGCCGGACCGCCTCGAACAGGGCGACTCCCGCCGCCACCGAGGCGTTGAGACTCGTCACGCGGCCCTCCATCGGCAGGGCGGCCAGCCAGTCGCACCGGGCCCGCACGAGCCGGCGGAGCCCCCGGCCCTCGCCCCCCACCACGAGCGCCACCGGCACCCGCAGATCGATCTCGTAGAGGGACCGATCCGCCTCGGCATCAAGGCCAACGGTCCAGACGCCGGCGTCCTTCAATTCGGTGAGGGCGCGGGCGACGTTCACGACCGGCGCCACCGGCAGGTGCGCCAGCGCGCCCGCCGACGCCTTGACCGCCGCCGCGGTCACCGGTGACGCGCGGCGGGCCGGCACCACCAGGCCGGAGGCGCCGGCGGCCTCGGCGCTCCGGGCGATGGCGCCCAGGTTGTGCGGGTCCTCGATACCGTCCAGCACCACGATCAGCGCCGGCGCACCCGCGCCGATCAGATCGGTCACGCCGCGTGCCTCCGGCGGGCGGATCGTCGCCACGACGCCCTGGTGCGTGCCGCCCGACGCCAGGCGTTGAGTTCCGTGACGTCCGCGCGGCGCACGTGCACCTGCTGCCGCTGCGCCAGGGCACGCAGCTCGTCCAGGCGTTCCCGCCGGCCGGCGCCGATCGTCAGCGCCGTGACCCGTCCGCTCCGGAGTGCCTCGAGGACCGGATTGACGCCGTAGATCACCATCACGACGGCATCGACACGACGGTCGCGACGGCGTGGACGGCCACCGCCTCGCCACGACCTACCGCGTCCAGGCCCTCGGCGGTCTTCGCCTTGATGCTGATCGCGTCGGGTGGGACCCGAGCGGATCGGCGAGCCGCTCGCGCATCGCGTCGATGTACGGCCGTAGCTTCGGCCGCTCGGCGATCACCACGACGTCGACGTTGCCGGGAGCACAGCCGTGCGCCCGAACGATCGCGACGGCGCCCCGCAGCAGTTCGATGCTCGACGCGCCGGCCCACTGCGGATCGGTGTCGGGGAAGTGCCGGCCGATGTCGCCCGCAGCGATGGCGCCCAGCAGCGCGTCGGTGACCGCGTGGCAGACGGCATCGGCGTCGGAGTGCCCGCCAGGCCGGCGTCATGCGGGATCTCCACGCCGCCCAGGACCAGCCGCCGCCCCGCCGCCATCCGGTGCGAGTCGTAGCCGACGCCAATCCGGACCGCCCCGCCGCCGCGCTGCGCTAGCCGCGCCGCCGCGCGATCGACATCCGCGGCCGTGGTGACCTTCAGGTTCGCCACATCCCCCTCCACCAGGCGGACCGGATGCCCCATCCGCTCGGCCAGCAGCGCCTCGTCGGTCGCCTCGATGCCGCCCCGCCCCACCTCGACCGCCCCGCGCAGCACGTCGAGGCGGAATCCCTGCGGTGTCTGCGCCAGCCAGATCCGATCCCGCGGCAGCGTCGACGCCACCATCGGCGGTCCCTCCGTCGCTGCCGCTTCCTTGATGGTGTCCGTCGCGCGGAGCGCGGGCACCGCCGCGCCCGTCTCGGCGCGGCGTCGATCACGCGATCGATCAGCGCCGGCGGGCAAAAGGGACGCGCCGCATCGTGGACCAGCACAATGTCGGTCCATCCCGCACCGCATCGACGCCCGCCGCCACGGAGTCCTGCCGCCGCGCGCCGCCGGCGACGATGCGGAGCGGCGTCGCGCACAATGCCAGGCCGGCCGGCGGCGACGCCGCGGCGTCGGCCGGCAGCACCACGATCAGTTCCGCGACACGGTCGTGCCGATCGAACGGCGCGACGCCATGCTCAAGCAGCGTCCGGCCGCCGGCGACGCGGAACTGCTTCGGCGCATCGCCTCCCGCCCGCGCGCCGCGCCCGCCTGCCGCGATGATCGCCGCTACCCGGACGGAATAATCCATCGGCCTGCTTCCATGCCCCCCGACGTCCGCAGCGCGCGCGCCGCGCTCAGATCGAGCACGGCGTTCAGCTCTGCCGCCGGGACGGGCCGTGGAGCATACACGACCAGCAGCGCGCGCACCGTGTCCGGCGTGATCATCGTTCGCGCCGCATCGGACGTCGGGTTTCCGAACGGCCCGGTTGCGTCGTACAGCGCCGGGCGTCCCGACAGATGGACGACCGGCTTTCCGATGCCCTCGTACTCGTCCCGCTCCGCGCCGCGCCGCAGGGCGATCGCTCCGGAGACGTGGTCGATGTCGTACACGCCGAACGGCAACTGCGTCTCGAGCGAGCAGCGGTTGCACGCATCGACCAGCGTGTTGATCCGGGGCCAGGGCAGGCCGCGCCGGACCCGCCGGGCGAGCGCCTCGGAACTGGGACGGGTTCGCGTCGGATCGATCCCGAACTGCCGGTACATCGCCCGAACCAGCGCCATGCGCGCCTCGGCGGCGGGCGCCACCGTCGGATCGCCCGCCTCGGGCGCGGCGGTGTCCGCCGTCGCACGGACCGACAGGCCCTCGAACTGCAGCGCACCGAGGCGCACGACGTCGATCAGGTCGTCCGCGACGGTGACGGTGCGATCGGTCATCGCCGGTCCGCCGCCACGCGCTCGTGCTCCACCGCCGCCGGCGCGCCCCCGGCCGCGTCCGCGTCGCTCTGCCGTTCCAGCTCCGCCACCGTCGCCACGATCACGCCCCGGGCCCGCTGCGCGAGGTGCCTCGCATCGGCGCGCGTCAACCCGTCGGTCCCGATTGGCTCGTGCACCACCACGGCAACGTCGCCCGGACAGGTCATCAGCCGTCCCTTCACCATGACGTGGCGCGTGCCGCTGACGGCGACCGGCACGACGGCCGCGCCCGCCTCGATCGCCAGGACGAACAAGCCGCGCTTGAACGCCGCGACCCGGCCGTCGCGGCTCCGGGTCCCCTCGGGAAAGACGATGAGCGAGTCGCCCCGCCGGATCATCCGCGCCACCCGCGCGAGCGTCGCCGCGCCGGCGTGCGCGCGGTCCACCAGGAGATGCCCGGTCCAGCGGAGGTGCCACCCGATCACCGGGAACCGTCCGAGCGACGCCTTCGAGATGATCCGCAACTGCGCCGGGACCGACGCGAACAGCACCGGGATGTCGTAGATGCTCTGGTGGTTCGAGACGAAGATGTACGACCGGCCGCCGTCGACGCGGTCAAGGCCGCGCGCATCGACCCGGACGCCGTCGTCCCCAGGATCCAGCGCGACCAGGCGCGCGCGCAGCCGTGCGCCAGACGGCCGCGCCGATCGA